TCACTGGCTCCCTGTGCGCCCTTTGTCCTTAGAGAGGCAAAATACCCTCTTCCAAATGTACTCCAGGAAGGGGAGTGATCTCTTCCAGTGCGACCCAGGGGATCCCCTCACCATGGTGTATTGTACGAACACTACATGCTGCTCTCTCTCGCACTCTCTCCCTCTCTTCCTGACTTTGCTCCACAAAAAGGGTTCCCTCACCTTCGTGGCATCACAGCTTTTCTCTCCCCCAATTCATGACTCTGAACCTCGCATCTCCCATGTTTGCTCCCTCCAATTGTGCAGATTGTTTTCTTAAACCTCAGACTGATTTCCTAGGTGTTCAAAATGATTTGATCTAGCTGTGTTCAACGGATGAGGCAAGCTCAGGGTCCCCCTACTACTCCACCATCTTAACTTCTCTCAGACTGCATTCCTTTTTATGGCCAAATAGTATTCCATTGTTATACACACACACACACACACACTGCATCTTCTTTATCCATTCATCCACTGAGGGACATTTAGGTTGATTCCATATCTTGGCTATTATAAACAATGCTATAAAGAACATAGGGGGGGCATATATCTTTTTGAATTTGTGTTTTTGTTTTCTTCATATAGATACCCAGAAGTGGAATTGCTGGATTGTATGGTAGTTCTATTTAAAAAAAATTTTTTTTTAAGATTTTATTTATTTGATAGAGAGAGACACAGCGAGAGAGGGAACACAAGCAGGAGGAGTGGGAGAGGGAGAAGCAGGCTTCCTGCTGAGCAGGGAGCCCGATGCGGGGCTTGATCCCAGGACTCTGGGATCATGACCTGAGCCGAAGGCAGACGCTTAATGACTGAGCCACCCAGGTGCCCCCTATTTTTAATTTTTTGAGCAACCTCCATACTGTTTTCCACAGTGGCTGCACTAATGTAGTTTCACCAACAACTCTACAGCCTTGCCAACTCTTGTTAATTTTTATCTTTTTGATAACAGTCATTCTGACAGGTGTGAGATAATATCTCACTGTGGTTTTGGCTTGCATTTCCCTAATGATTAGTGATGTTGAGCATCTTTTCATTGGTCTGTATGTCTTCTTTGGAAAAAATGTCTATTCAGATCCTCTGCTCATTTTTTATATCGGATTGCTTGGGTTTTTTTGTTACTGACCTATATGAGTTCTCTGTATGTTCTGGGTATTAACCTCTTATCTGATATGTGATTGCAAATATCTTCTCCCACTCAGTAGGTTCCTTTTTTATTTTGTTGATGGTTTCTTTCCCTGTGCAGAAGCCTTTTGGTTTGGTGGAGTCCCATTTGTTTATTTTTGCTTTTGTAGCCATTGCTTCTGGAGTCAGATCCCAAAAAATATCACTAAGACGGATGCCAAGGAGCTTACCACCTTTGTTTTCTTCTAGGAGTTTTATGGTGTCTGGTCTTACATCTTTCATTTTTTTCTTATAATTTTTTTTTTAAAGATTTTATTTATTTATTTAAGAGAGAAAGTGAGAGAAAGAGAGAGAGAGAAAGTGAGCATGAGCAGTGGTAGGGGCAGAGGGAAAGGGAGAAGCAGACTCTCCTGGTAAGCAGGAAGCTTGACGTGGGGGTTGATCCCAGGACTCTGGAATCATGACCTGAGGCAAAGGCTGACGCTTAACCCACTAAGCGGCCCAGGCGCCCCTCTTATAAAATTTTTATGGCTTAATTTTTCACATTTAAATCTTTGATCCATTTGAGGACTATCCTAATGTAAAGTATGAGGTATGGATTCAACTTTACCCTTTTCCAGATGGCTCCCCAGAAATGTCAGCATCAATTATTGAATAAACTATCTTTTCACCACTGGTCTGAGATGCAATCTTTATAATATGCCAATTCCTATTTGTTCAAGAAATATTTAGTACTTCCTATGTGACAATCATGGTGCTTGAGATATACGGGGGAGGGGGAAGACTAAAATTTCCCACCCTTATGAAACTTACTTACATTCTAGCAGGGGAAAGTAGACAAAAAACATGGTAACTGGGTAAATTATACATTATGTTAGAAGATAAAAGAAGAGTAGAGTAAGAGGGTCTGACAAAGTGAGGGGTGAGGCAGTTGCAACTTTACAAAGGATGGTCAGGAAAGATGTCACCGGAGAGGTGATATTTGAAAAAAAGACTTGAAAAGTTAGCAGTCCAAAGGCCCTAAGGCAACAGTGTGTGTGGCATGTTCAAGAAGAAGAATGTGACCACCGTGGCTAGAGTGGAATGAGCAAGGGGTAGAAAAGTAAATGATGAAGTTAGAGGGGTAACAGGCCCAGATTCCGTAGGACTGTCTGGGCCATCATGAAGACTTTGGCTTTCACTCTGAGTGAAATGGGAACCATGCATTTTGAGCAGAGCAGTGACATGATCTGATTTACTATTACCCTGCCACTTCCTGGGCTACATCTTTTTGAAATCACCTTTTTTCTTCCTTTGCCTTTACCACTCTTGCTAATCTCTGCTGTTTCCCAAAGCAAAGCCCTCAAATCCACCTATTTTTCTCCACCTTCTAGTTTTAAGCTATTATTTTCTATCATATACAATATGGCAGTAGCTTCCTAAGTGGATTTCTCCTCCTTCCTTTCTTGCTGCTCACAAATTCACTTGTCATATAACACACACCTGGGTGATTTTTTTTTTTTTAAGATTTTATTTATTTATTTGACAGAGCAGGAGGGAGAGGGAGAGAGAATCTGAAGCAGACTCCACGCTGAGCACAGAGCCCAATGAGGGGCTTGATCACACGACCTCAAGATCATGACCTGAGCTGAAACCAAGAGTCGGACACTTAACCAACTGAGTCACCTAGGCACCCCACACCTGGGTGATTTTTAAAGTAGAATTCAGTTAATTTTACTATCCTGCTTAACTTCCTTGCAAGGCTTTCTACTACATTTAGAATAAAACCCAAGCTTTTCTTCATGGCCACAAGGGCCTGTATACTTAGGCCATGCATACTTCCCCAAGCTTATCTCAAGTCATTCTCTCCCTTCCTCCATTCCAACAATGGTGTATATTTAACTTAAATATACCCATGGTTTTTACACATAATATTTACCACATGCCTAAAATGCTTTTTTTCCCCACTTAGTTTTTATAACTCTTATATATCCTTCACATCTGACCTTAAATTTCACTTCCCTAGAGACTTTCTTCCCTGATTCTCTAATGCACATTCACAGCACCTTATTCTTATTTTGTGTAATAAACATCTTAATTTGCAATTCTTACTATATTTGTTGAGTGACTGTTTCTGTTACACTATAAGCAACTTGGATTTAGGAATACCTATTTTGCTTAGTGATGTATATCTGATGGAAAGAACAATTTCTGGCATGTTGTAGCTGCTCAAAAAATACTTGTTGAATGAACCATCTTCTTTCTTAACATAATAAGTTGTTCTGGAGAATTAAAACAAACTCCTTCGGCTAGAATGCCAAGAAGCAGATATATCACTTTAGTTCTTGATGTCTTTCTAGTCCTGTCTGTGGGGAGTCTTATAATTAAGAGTAAACTGAATAAATCTATTCCCTGCAACCCAAAGATCCCAAAGCAGTAACATTCCAAATAAATGCTCAACTCGAGCTGACAGTCTCCTTATTGTCCCTGCTCTTGCATAAATTTTATTTCCTGTCTGCAATGGCCCCGTCTTCTTTAATCTTCAAATCTAACCAGTATCAGCACAAATTCAAACTCCACCTTCTTTATGAAGTCTACCCTCATCCTTCTAGTTTCAATAAAATTTCTCCTTTCTCTGAGTACCTCTTGTATTTGTTGTATTTTGTATTCTTAGTAGCAGTCCAACATTACATTTTTTTTTAAAGATTTTATTTATTTATTTGAGACAGAGAGAATGAGAGACAGAGAGCATGAGAGGGAGGAGGGTCAGAGGGAGAAGCAGACCCCCTGCTGAGCAGGGAGCCCGATGCGGGACTCAATCCCGGGACTCCAGGATCGTGACCTGAGCCGAAGGCAAGTCGCTTAACCAACTGAGCCACCCAGGCGCCCCCAACATTACATTTTTTTAAATGTTGTGTGGTTTAGGTGTGTAAAAATCTCCTCCGATGAGTTTATTGGCTACCTACAGATAATGTTTATCTCATATAATTTGGAACAAGAGATGTCCTCCTATTTGAAGCAACTGATACTAGTATCTGGTGTGTTAAGCTAAAAAGCTAAAGTTGAGATCCATAGAAGATATCTTAAACATTTTAATTTGAAATATATAATTGTATATTCATGTGCTCGTCTTTTGATGTGAAATGAAACCTTTTCTGAGAGTGATTTTAATGATCATATGTCCATACCCATAATGCATCAGTTTCTGTTTCATTAAAATGCAACAAGCAAGGGACACTTGGGAACTAATATAGGTGTAGAATCCTCTAAGATTTTTATGATTTTCCTTCAGTGTGTTACAGTTTGCTCACACATAATTTGATAGCAATTTTTTAGAAAGTGACTGGCATTTATAAGGTCTTTCCAAAGCATTCAACTAGTTTTCACAGAAACAACTCCTCGTCATAGTTCTACCTCATCAGCTTACATAAATACTTAATCAAATTATAGAACAGTAACAATAGGCTTAAACAGGTTTTGCAAGAGGTACAACAGAGTCTTGATAAACATTAACTCCTGGCAGATGTCCTCAGGCATATTTAATAATGCCATTAGCTCCAAGCAGTCATTGTGACCTGGGCATCACTGATTGTTTACAGAGAGAACGGCAAGTGTTGTTTAAAGTCTGGTGAGTTGTTTAAGTGATGGATGATCAAAAGATAGTCTATAGTTTCTTTTGTTTCTTATACAATATCTAGCCCAGACATGCTGGAAGGAGAGAAGAGCTATAAAGGGTATATAAAGTGAATGGGAAACATCCTATAGAAATTATCTGTCCCAAGAGTCTAAAGGGCTCTGGATTCACTTCTGAGAATTGAAAAATAAAAGTACCCATATTCTGAGAACTGTAACAGCATTTCAGAGAGTAAAACTGAACTTACCTGAGACCTGACTATCTGTGATCCATCACTCATTTCTTTCTCCTCCATGTTCCCCCCTTGGGAAAGTATAGCATTGTGAGAGGGCATAACTGGGAAAAAGAAAAAAGAAGCATCTGGTAAATACATGGTAATAATGCTGAAACTAACTCTTGGAATTTTTGTTTCCTGTTAGAATGGCAGACAGTTTAGAGAGAAGCCCTTTAGGACATAAGCTTAAAGGCTGGATAACTTATTGAGGAATTCAATGTAAGATTTTCTCTTTCTCTTATTGTGGCATATGGGAAGCTCAAGAAAGCTCAGTGGTTTTTAGCCCTGACTACACAAACTGGGTTGTTTTTTTTTTTTTTAAGATTTTATTTATTTATTTGACAGAGAGAGACACAGTGAGAGAAGGAACACAAGCAAGGGGAGTGAGAGAGGGAGAGGCAGGCCTCCCGCTGAGCAGGGAGCCCGATGCGGGGCTCCATCCCACGACCCTGGGATCACGACCTGAGCCAAAGGCAGACGCCTAACGACTGAACCACCCAGGCGCCCCAACCTGGGGATTTTTTTTTAAAAATGCCAATGCTCAGCCCCTATTCCCAGAGATTTGTTTTTTGTTTTTGTTTTTTTAAATTTTTATTTAAATTCTAGTTAGTTAACATATAGTGGGATATTGGTTTCAGGAGTGGAATTCAGTGATTCATGACTTACATACAACATCCAGTGCTCATCATAACAAGTGCCCTCCTTAATACCCATCACCCAACTAGCCCAGAGATTTGGATAAATCCAGTATTATACAAATTGGTCTGGGGTGGGCCTGGGAAACAGCATTTTAAATTCTAAAGTCTCCAAGTGATTCTAAGTAGGAAATGAGAACTACTGAGATGAGCTGATACAGAAAACATGTTGAGGACTAATCTTATTCTTTTTTTTTTTTTAAGATTTTATTTATTTATTTGAGAGAGAGAGAATGAGAGAGAGCACATGAAAGGGGGGAGGGTCAGAGGGAGAAGCAGACTCCCTGCCGAGCAGGGAGCCCGATGCGGGACTCGATCCAGGGACTCCAGGATCATGACCTGAGCCAAAGGCAGTTGCTTAACCAGCTGAGCCACCCAGGCACCCGGGACTAATCTTATTCTTTAAGGGGATAAATTCATCCCCAAACTCAAACTCCAGAGATCTTCTTTCCTTTACTCTTTTAAAGATGATCTAATAATACACAAAGGAGATGTCACTCTTCTCATTTTTCAGAATGTTTACCTTCTTTTTTGAGTACCTGGATTCAGTCCTCCACCAGGATTACTACACCTCTTTGCAGTTCTTAAGTTGTAATATAACCAAAGCTTTGCTCTCTTCTAGAAGGACATCAGTAGATACACTATTACTAACAGCTTCAGTGTCCTTGTCAGTCCCTGAAAGCTGATTTTCCAGTGCCTTATGGAGAATAGTCACTCTCAGGTATTAAAGGTGCCTCATCTCTGATAGAACCTCAGGAGCCAATGGCTATCCACAAGAATGATTTCTGCTTCTCAGGGGCAGCCACTCTCAGAATCTTGCTTTGTTCATGCAGAGTTGAGATGTGGCGGTTCCTGAAGGTGGCTATTACTTTTTTTCCCCTAAAGGCATCAATCCTTCATGTACAGACTTCACTATGATATTTGAATCTCTCTCCTGGCAGGGATCTTGTAAGACACAATATCAGATTGAGCACCTGTAATGAGATGCACCAGTCAACAAAAGAAATCCAGCAGCCTCAGTCACCTCGGGACCTAGAAAGTCTGTAAAGAAACATATAAACTACCCATTCATAAAGATAGGGCACGCAACGGTATAGAATTCTTTAAAAACAGTCAAAAAGCATTTTTAGAATTTCTCAGATTCACACATTACAAAAAGCAGAGATGTACAGATCCATCAGCTACAATAAACTTTAGCCTCAGTTCTTACCCACCTTCTCAGAAAAAAAAAATGTGGTCCTTCCTTAGTGAAAGATTTTCAGAAAGACTTTCACCAAAATTAACAAGAGAGTAAAATGTATTGAATTGCTAATAAACATGGGAGAATACATTCTTTTTCTTTTCACAAAGCTTGGCCTGGAAAATTTCTCTCAAAAGTTAGTAATGGAACTGAATAATGAAGTCATTCCTGAGAAGCAATTTTTTTTTTTTTTTTTAAAGATTTTATTTATTTATTTGAGAGAGAGAATGAGATAGAGAGCGAGCATGAGACAGGGGAGGGTCAGAGGGAGAAGCAGACTCCCTGCCGAGCAGGGAGCCCGATGCGGGACTCGATCCTGGGACTCCAGGATCATGACCTGAGCCGAAGGCAGTCGCTTAACCAACTGAGCCACCCAGGCGCCCGAGAAGCAATTTTTTTTAAAAAGAGAAGATCACAGTTCCAGTGGAATTGTCCTATTAGTTGAGGAAGCCATTCACTGCTCAAGATATGGCATGAATCCAAAATTTTACAACCAGCTGACTAAGAAGCAGACCTTTCAGGAGTAATTTAGAAGCACTTTAAGAAGCAGGTCTTATTTCACCAAGCAAAGGTCTAAAAAGGTCCTACTCTCTAAAGAGACAGACAGAATCTATGTGAATGCTCTGACGTTTCAAACCCAATCACCTCAAAACCACCTATTCACAACCAAAAAAACCCTGCATTTACGAAGTTAGGCAGTACAGGGTTTCTCCTTCATATGTGTAAACCCAAGGAGATGAGGACTGTGTCAAATATATTATATATTCTATGCAAATTTTGTTATTTGAGAATTTTTTATGGCATCTGGTGGGACTAGGGTTCCAAAGAACACATCTTTGGAAACACTGATTTAGTTCTCAGTTTTTTGGTTTAATGAAGGATTCTAAAACTGAAGATCCCCTGGTTCACAGCCCTAGGTTCCTTCTAGTATACTTTGAAGTTCTTCTTAGCACTTGTTCTCTACCATTTTTTTTTAAGATTTTATTTATTTATTTGAGAGAGAGTGAGAGAGCACAAGCAGGGGGAGCGACAGGCAGAGGCAGAGGCAGAGGGAGAAGACTCCCCGCTGAGCAGGGAGCCTGATATGGAGCTCTAGGCGACCCTGACATTTTGACCTGAGCTGAAGGCAGATGCTTAACTGGCTGAGCCACCCAGGCACCCCTCTACCATTTTTTAAATCTGATCTCCTTTCTTCTCATAATTTCCCTTTTAATTCCTGTATTGGAAAGATACATACACAAAATCGCCCAAAACCAACCACTCCCCACCCCCAAACAGTGTGTAATTTTTCATACAATACACACATAGACTTTTCCAGAGAAGCCTGTGGGATTACCACAGGCTTTTTCAAATAAGTAACCATGATGGCTTGGAAAGTAACAAATTCCCTTGACTGCCTAAGGAATACCAGAATTATAATCAATTCAGATGAAAAATGACTTTGGACTTAACACCCTTCCCTCCAAGCTCTTCCAAAAATCTGAGTGAACTTTATGGACCGTGTAGAAAACTTCTGTAGTAGTTCTCAATCGGGGCCGTGCATTAAACTCAGCCCAGATTTTAAGTTATACATATGTAAATGTATACATGTCCAGGCTCCACCCAAGAGCTACTAAACCAGAATCTGTTGAGATGAAGTCTGACATCTACACATTTTTTTAAAGTGCCTCACAAGTGATTCTGATGCAAGCAGGAATTCAGAGCAACTATCAGAGCCCCTCATCTCCTTAACTTCCTCAATGCCAATGATTTTCACCTTCATTCTATTTCAGTCACCTACTTCCAGTACCACAGCACTTTTGAAGTCTTTCTTACCTTATAAAACACTAGACTATGAATCAGGAGACCTTAGGTCCTGGACTGGATAGATGGGTAAGGAAATGAAGACAGGAATGGCTTAATATAATGGAAGAATAGAAAAAAGAGCAGTGTTTGTCATAGTGTGGTCTGAAGATCACTTGAATCATGCCATTTGCTGAAAAGCAGATTCACTGGTCCTACCCCAGACGTAATGAAATAGCATCTCTGGGGGGTATTCCTGGCCCCAGGGACTTGCTTTAAGAAGTATTTCTTCCCTGGAATCAGACCTTTCTAGACTGACTACAGGCCCGAATCTAGCATGTATCTTCTCATTCCTCTATCTTCAACTTTATCTGTCACTTGTATTGACTCCTTCCTGTCATAATTTAAAACCTTTTACTATATCTCCCAACATTAATAACTTTCGCTGACTATGTGCCCATTTGTAACTACCATCCATCTTTTTTCAAGGCTACAACTCTTCAAAGGATTGTCAATACTTGTCTCTACTTCCTCATTACCTATTTATTTTTCGATTATCTATGACCTTTCCTCTGTTCTGCTATCAGCACACCACTGAAACTGCTCTGAGTAGGAATACCAAAAACGCTGATGTTGTTCAAGCAATGGAGTTCGTTACTTCTTTTTTTTTTTTTTTTTAAGATTTTATTTATTTATTTGACAGAGAGAGAGAATGAGAGCAGCAACACAAGCAGGGGGAGTGGGAGAAGGAGAAGCAGGCTTCCCACTGAGCAGGGAGCCCGATGTGGGGCTCGATCCCAGGACCCTGGGATCATGACCTGAGCTGAAGGCAGACGCTTAACGACTGAGCCACCCAGATGCCCCTGGAGTTCGTTACTTCTTGAGCTCTGATGGGTATCTGACACTGTGGACAACTGTGTTTTGCTTTATGTCCACCGTCTTTCTCAGTGAGCTATGCACTAGTCCCTTTTCCTCTGCTTATCATTTACAGATTGTTGTTTCTTAGGATTTTCCATTATCTATTTTTGTTCCCTCCACAGGTGAAGTAAAGGCATCTTTACTTGTAAAGTATACAAACCTGATCACATCAGTCCTTCACTTTGAAATTCTTTAGTGGCTCTCTACAGTTCTTAGGCTGGAGTACAAGGCCATAAAAAATCCTGTGACCGCTTCCTGACTTCTCAAGCCACTCTCCTGCTTGTTTTTAAGGCTTCATTTACCCTGTTCTGCTTTTAAGTCCTTAAGTGTGCCATATCTCCCCTGCCCCTCCTCTCCAGATGGTACCTACTCTTCCTTCAGGTCTCAGCTTAAATCAAGGAAGATTTTGGTATCACAGACCAAGTGG